TCAGATCAATACAGGTTTGTACCGGTTTGTCCTGATGATAAAACTGTAAGACGTCCCGACCGGGGAGCGATTGGATGCCTTCCCGGAATGCCTTGCAGTCGGCTTCCTCCAAAGCGACGACCGCCACACTTAGGTGAACGGTCACTGAGCCTCGCACCACTGAAAGGACTCGGATTTCCATGTGTCCAAGAGCGATTCAATTATCACGCCCAGCGGGAAAGTTGGGTTATTTTGAACGCCTGGGATTATCCACTGTTTTTCTCACGGAAAAAGAGTTCCTTATCCCATGTAATAGATTTATTAACCAGGTCCCTTGAACCTTGTTTTCTCAAGACGATCTGATGTTGGCCTCGTTCTTGTTTGCGTTTCGTTATGGACTGAGACGCAGTAGAGGTCAATAAACAAGCAAAAAAAGAACTTGTTCAATATCCAGCTTTATTACATGTGGGCAAGATAAAGCGGGCAAAAGTAACGGCTATCCTGCCCGCTCGGGGCCACCCGCCGGGTCCCGCAAGAGAAATTTCCCTTAAAGCCATGAAATATTAAAATTCTTTACTGACCAACCTTGTTCGGTTAAAATGGCTGGATATTGGTCTCGTTCCTTTTTTCTCGTGTTTATGAATCTCGACTCCATCTCGGTCCATAGACACGCAAAAAAAAGAACGAGGTCAACATTCGCGACAGTCCGTTTCACGCTCACTGAATAAGAGATAGAGAAATGCGACCACGCTTGAGTGAGTTGGAAGCTTAAAAGGATAGGGAAAGGGAGGGTGAGGAAATGAGAAGCACGGTAGCGCATAGAAGCAAGGGAGAATGTTGCGGCTGCCAACAGCCAAAGGATTCTTACGTGACTGAAATGAGATGCAGCGCTCTTATTTACACTCGCTTAGTAAGGGACTGGTGCGAATAGCGTACTATCCAGCCATATTGACTTCACACTTGGTCAATAACCCATATATATTGGTCTTGTTCTTTGTTGCGTGCTGCTATGGAGCGACGCGCAGTTGAGGTTCAAGAACAAGCAGGAACTGAAAAGGACTTTGCCAGGATCTAGCCATCTTCACTTCAAACTTACTCAATAATTAGCTAATAACTGCCCCACTGTGCTCGAGTTATTCTCGTGCCACAAGGCAGGTGCTATTAATCCTCAGCCTCGCGCCCGGACTCTCCTGTTTCAAAGCTCGTTACCTCGTTAATGTTACAAGAAGCGGATATCCTGTAATAACAATAAGATTCTAATCACCTCATTATCCGGTTCCTGTTACAGGAAGCGGATACGCCGTGTTACAGCGCCAAAATTCGCAAAAGCCAATCATGCAGATCCTAAATTCGTTTGAGAAACCAAGTCAAGGTCCTGATATCAACGCATTTGGGTTCGATAAAATCCCTTATTGTGCCCTATTAGAACGCTTCAGAGGAGTATTAGGTTTCTTTTGCATCGACAAGGGTACCTCAGCTGGACGATTACCCCTCTGACGTGCTGCCAAAGAGTTACCCTTGGGTATAAATAAAACAGAATATGGAAATACAGGATTTGCAAATTAGTATCCGCTTCCTGTGACAGGAAACGGAACTGTGCGGCCAGCACCGGCTGACTTTTTATCTAAGAGAATTCGTTTAATTCAATGTGACGATAGAATTTAGACACCGTACCCATGTTTGCAGGGTTTTACAAGTTTTTATTCAAAAATATCTTAATTGTTTGTCCTTCAATCTGTTTGGCCTGAACCGGTGCGAATACAGGGTGAACGGTCCATCGACTTTGATCGATTTTGAATGTTAAATTAAAATGGCAATTACATGGCTGAGCGAACAGTGTATGAAATGAGAAGAATGTTTGTCAAAAGGCGATTCCACTGACTTATGTTTTTTTTTCCAATTTTTTCAATACTATCAACGGAATGACAAGGTACCTGTGAAAGCGGATTGGAGTCGAGATTAAAAAACAAACGTGATTCGTTCATGCAGTTACTTCGATCGATCGCCTAATTTATTGAGTTTTATGCATGGAAAACAAGTTAATTGTGCTTTCAAATCTCGAGTGGTCTCTGCAGTTTGGTCACAAACCATTTCCTTCCGGTCAAATTGATCAAATGAGTTGTTAACAACGCACGCCAGGGTTCATTATTAGGCATCAATTGAGATCATCATCATTATAAAAAGCCGTGTTACTTCAAGAGGACAAACCACACTGAGTGCAGTCCAGCAAAGAACTTTCCAAGTGTGAACCTGAAACGAAAGTCAGAAAAGGTGAGATATATCCTTGACAGTTTTGTTTTTCCAATGAGTTAAAATTGTTAGCTTTCATTGCTTTAATTTGACGTTGCTAGATTCAATAGGACCGAAAACAGTTTTTTTTTTCGCTTTGTCATCATTTGCTAAACAAACACGAAAAAATTTGAGATTCAGTAATTGAAATTACCTCAGGGGCTCGATGTTCTTTTTTCTTACATTTCGAATAAAGCCTTTACGTCATGTTAAGAGAAAGCACTCTATGGAAAACCTTTATGATATCGTCAGTGGACATGCTTTTTAACCTGCACAAGTAAGTGAGCAAGTAGATATAGGCAATATGACATGTAAATTATTTTGAGCCCTAAGTTTCACGTGAAGTACAGTGTTTCTCTGTATGGACAAAACAAGGCCGGTAAATAACAGACTTATTCTCTACCTTAAGTAGCTATCAATATCGGCAACATCGTCCACACGCTGGCAGATGAGACGAACGTGAAATACATCGCGTTCATCACCAAATTTTCAAAGCTAACACGACTGATTAAAAAAAATAATATTTTGAACTTGCGACTAATGGAAAGGGTTATTAAAACATTTTTTTACAAAAACGAAGGATCTCAAGATGCGTGTTGCAGCTGCTTTCATCTTGCTCATTTCCCTGGCGGTGGCGTTCAAATTGGAGAAGGAGCTTCCTGTGTTTGAAGATGACCCAGACGAGCAATATGAACCAGCTGAGCAAGATGAACCAGATGAACAAGATGAACCACATGAACTATATGAACCAGCTGAACAAGATGAACCAGATGAACAAGATGAACCAGCTGAACAAGATGAACCAGATGAACTATATGAACTAGATGAACCAGTGGAGCAAAAAGAAGATGAAGATGGTAATGAGGTAATAGAGCAGCTTACGCTCCACTGTCGAGACAAACATGTCTTTGCTAAGCTTCCTAGTTGGTTCAGTAAATTCTTGCGATTCGGTCCAACCCTGTAATAGATAAAACATGCCATTCTGTATTATCCAGTCAGGAACGAAGTCAGACCCATCTGTGTGTTGCCTGAGACACAGCTCAGTATTAGGAACATTTTCCCGCGCTTATCTCAGTTAGCATATCTGCCCCACGCTTGGCCCGTGATACCGTAAAACGCCGCATATAAGCCCCTCAGGTTAAAGGTGGCATCTCCCAGAAAACAAAACATTACTTCCGATTATACCCCCCCAGATATAAGCCCCTTTTTTTCCTTTAAAATGAAAGAATTCGATTTATTGTAATGCTTTAAAGCTTAATTAAAAACCATTATATGAAAAAACATATTTCGTTAAACACTGCTGTAGCTCTAGTTTTGAAATGGTCTTTTATTCCGCTTAGAAGCCCCCCTCCCCCCTCAACGCCCTCCCGCCCCCAATATAAGCCGCAGTTTATGGTATGTATTTGCTCGAGTTCTTATTGCCTCAGTTAATAAAAGTACCAAAATCAGCGATTTTTCCTATCCTATTCATGACATGACCAAAAGTTAGATACTCCCAGTTTACGACCGTTGCGGCTGGCGCAGGTGCCCTTAGCATAATTTATGAAGGGCTTTTGTTGATGCTCTTATCGATAATGATGAAAAAGAAGCTTCTTCTATAAAACATACCCAATTCAAGACTACAGTGCTAAAACCATACCCTAGTGGCCAAAAATCGATACTCTATTTATGACCAAAACGGCTGAAAAACCACACCCTTTGGGGCCGCACATACCTATATGGCCCATACAAGGGAGTACCCCCTTATCACTTACTTAATTAGGCGTAATTCATGAGTAGTTTAATAGAGGCTGAACACGAAGAACACTGCTTTGCATGGCATAGTTTTGGTAAACAGGTGACTTGCCTTCTTCACATAAACTCCTGTGTGATCGATGTGTCTTTCCTTTTTAACTACTTTCCGTTAGGTTGAGAGCCTGTATAGTAGAATCTTCCCTCAAAATTATTGCTGCACCCATACCTGCTTCGTTACGCCTCCGGAATGCTACGGACGCCGTCAGTTGGTACGTGATGTGATTTTGTTTATACTCAAGATTGTCATGAGATTACGTTCCTGGTATGGCCTGCCTTAACTTTGCATTTTCATGCAAGAACATCGCGACAGTTTTCCCCAGAGCCTTTATTCTAAGGCGACTGGGCGACTGTCCAAGATAGGCTTCAGAAACACATCACCTCTTAGATATACCTGCAAGTAGGAGTACCGCTGGTCTTGGGGGGATGCTTGCATCCTTGTGTTGCCCGCCATTCCCGCCCCCACCCTCCCCCCAACTCCCCCACACCCCCACTCCTCCTTCCCCCGCACTTGTCCAGCCTTTTTCTAACTGAACAGTAAGACTGAAGCGTCTAGCCCAAGAACACAGCGCATGAACCAGATCTCCACTGTACGGCTATAGACACACGCACAAACCACTGAAGCCAAATAATTGAAATAATTAAATTACAAGAAAGCTGACTTATGCCCATATATTTTTCATCTTTTACAGTATGGAAGGCAAGATTTCGCGTGAGGTTACCGATGCGGTTCCACAGACAATTAACTAGCAGCAGACATAAGCTAGTATTCTAGTTTCAGTAAAACGTGTAACTGTAAACTGAGCGTAAATAAACTAGTGAGTACAAGTTTAAAAAATACTAAATTCTGTGTCGTAACTTCTTCTTTTTCTTCGACGAATAGTGTGGTAATGTCTTTGTAAAGATAACACAAAGACAACACTCTGCAAACTTTTTGTGTCTGTGTGTGTTTCCCGTTCAGAACGTTATTCTTCGCTGTTATTGAATATTCGCAGTTTGTTTCATTTCGAAAGAGTTTCTCCATTCAGATGTTTCTAAATCGTAGTTTTCGTTACAGACGACTTTACCGCTGGATCTTGAGTTAGGCGCACAAATATATAACGAGACCAAACTGACATATGAAGCACTTATGAAGCATTTTTTTCGTCTTTTTGGTCACAGCCGTCACATATGGTATAGTTTTCAAAACATTTCTAAGTTTTACACATTGTGGGGCATTGTTCCCACTGGTTTGCCTGTGGTTTGAAAAGACGATTCAAATAGTCAGCGGAGGATTGATAAATTCAAAATGGCGCAGCACGACGCCTTGCTCGAGTGACCCCGAAGAGTTTAAGACGAAATCCGATAGACAATCGAGCAATTTCAGTTTTTAGTGGACAAAAATCTGGGTACCAGAATAATTTTCAGTATTTTACAGTCCTTTTTACATTTCTTAAAGCTGAAGATATAAAATAGTCGCCTGAAATAACACCGAAATCAAATTCCCATGGGAGTGATAGAAAATAAATTTCAAAGTTCAGAGAAATTGGGCAAACACAGGTAAAATTTCATCATCAGTTTCATCTCACCAGTACTTTCAAGTGTTTCATACAAAGTTCAACTGAACATTTGTTTTCGACGTTTGTTGTTGCTAGAAATGAGTTTTTTTGAGAACATATTTAAAACAGTCGTACAGAAGTTTGCAATACGATGTAAATAATCTTGGTACTAGGTTTTTGTTCACTTGTTACTAGAACTTCTGGTGGATTCCCTCTTAAATAGCACTTGAGGCAGCAGCCACAGTGGGTTGGAAACTATCCATACCAGATAGGGCTGAGATATCCCGACCGAGAAAAATAGAAATTAACCCCGCAGGTGCTAAGAACGTCCGTGGAAAATAGTGTTATTATAACTCCTTTTTGCAAATTCAAAATTCATAATATTGATGGTTGGGTGAAACAATGAACGGAAATAACAAAAAAGGTTGCAGCTCGTTTTAGCAGACTATTAAATGTTCAGGGGTCAAGAATCAGTGATAAAAGGTTCTTTGGTAAGGTAATTAACATCTTCTTGTAGAAAATATGAAACAATTTTGCAGATTTTGGAGCAACTTTTTGATTTTTGGGGCAACTGTTGAGCAACTTTTTGAAAAAATTTGGAGCATCTCAGGGGCGGCTCTATACGGGTGTCTGGAAAACCCGAATAGCGAATAGCGAATAGTCGCGAATAGCGAATAGTC